TTACGGTACGTCTATTTGTTTTAAAATATTTTCCTTTAACTAAGTTATCACGAAAACATTTTTCATTGAAACTAATTCATACCCAATAATGGAATGAGCTCCAGTCAACGAAATAAGATGATCGTCAAAAGATGTAGCAACTTTTCCATGTGAGTCAGCTATAACATTGCCTAAATCCCCGACATGACGGATTTCATCTGTAGGTGCCCCATGAACATGATTGCCCGGGTTGAAATGAGGTCCAGCTGAGGTACATCCATTAGTATTATCGCCGAATTCACTAAACGTTGAAAGTAAATATATTAAAATCATGTGACATGAATAAATGGCAAACATTAACCACGAAAGACAATATGTTTTTGTAATTTTTGAAATCGACTATAAAATGTATGGATGTGTATTGAGGCCACATAACCGGTGTTTCTTATCTATAAATAATTGTTTGTAGATAATTACTCACTGAATATGGAATCCATGTTTTCCTTTTGTCAACCCTTCAATTTGTATATGAACATTAACGACTTTGCTTCCTTCTTCCTGAGTGAAAGTGACGACACCTTCGACATTAATCCCTGGTTTATCTCCACGAAGAATACACGTAGCCTTAGGCATTATTATTATTGTAAAATGAGAAAAAGATTAACCAGCCGTTGATCTTCCGCATGTGCTATATACGGTATTTATACTACAAATACGCATACAGATAATTATTTTTGAGGCATTAATGCTATTGATTTTTTGAAATATTTATATAAAAATAAAAAATTTTTTTTCACGAGATATTAAAATTAAAAAGCATATTAAAAAATTATAGACTGTATATATATATTAAAAAATTATAAATATATATATATATACATACTGTATGTGTATAATTTTTTTTTATTAGTTATATTATTATTAAATATTTGTAAGACTTTCTAAATCTTAATTCTTTAAATGTAATTATAAAAAATAATAAAGTTATTCTATAAAAGTCAAGAATAAAATTCTTTTATTAAAAACTTTTAGATATAAACAGAATAATTTTATGGTTGTAAAATTATTAGTTACTTTATTTAAAGATCAAAAGAGCTTCCTTAAATACATTTTCAATATTACAACTTTTTTCAAATAAATAAATAAAATAAAAATATATAAGATATTATATATATTATATATTTTATATAAAATTTAATCTTCTGAAAAATAT